GTACTCTGGGTTACTCCTTTAAAAGTCTTCCTGCTGCTCTGCTCAGCTGCTGTTTGCCAGATTCACACTCTCTGATCTTCGCTGTGTACTGTAAGAGTATCTTTAAAGGTCACTCTTTCCCCTTATGTCCCAAATTCCCTGAGATCTTATTTTTATACTAAAGTGCAGAAGTACTCACCAGTGAGAAATGGAGGGTCTGATTACCTCCTCCTATCAATTAACTCCCTGTTCCACCAAAGTCAAGTTACATTCTAATACAACAAGGCAGTGCTTCAGTGCAGGCAAGGCAGCAGCACTGAACCCTGACTTAACTTCTTTCTTTAGAAAAACTGTTTTTGCATCAAATTCAACCAAGTTTTCAATGAACTGAAAGAAAAAGCTTTCCAAACTACAGGATGTTTTTTTTTGCAAAAATAAGCCAGTTATTTTTATTAACTAAAAGCAAGCTAATGCTTTTCAAAGTTTACTCTCTTTGGTCATAAAACTCACAGTTCAAACAAATTTCCACTGTCATCCCACAAGCTACTCTTGTGGTAAATACTGTTTTAAAAATCATGGCCTGGGGAAGACTGATAGGTTAGTTATTAAACACTTCCATACAGACCAAAACCTCATACCATAAATTCAAAATACAAGTTCTAAAATAAATTGTTAATATCTATATTTTATATATATATCACATTGTTTACATTACAACAAATTTGCTCTTCCTGCTTCTCGTCAAGAGACGGAAAATTTGGTAACTCTCATCGAAAAGAGAATCTTTGTGACTTTACTTTCACAATGGCAAAATGTGAGATGGTACTAAAATCTCCAGCTCCAGATTGGAAAGAACCAGCTATATAAGCATTCATTTCCATATTGTCTTTACAGTTACTGACAGTGCAGTCATTTGCCCTTTTCTAAAGTTGCAGTTGTGGCTGCAGGAGTTGGCAAATTTCAGTCAGCACCTTATTGGAGGGCAGACATCTCACATGTTGTTGAATGCTGAGATTCAGATTGAGAATTGTTCACAATACTCCATGAACCATTATGGCCATTGTCCCCTCTTGTTCCTCTTCCTCTCTCTTCCAGCAGCTTGTTCCCCTGTGTGTGAACTCTGTTCATTCCATAAGCATTTCTGCTTCTAAAGGGAAATACCTGCTGTTGTATATTTATCTGGGAGCATTTGGTACGTGAGAAAGTCTTGAATTCAGCAAAAGATTCCCTCAGCACCTTCCATGTCGTATCCTATTGGACTTGGTATTTTCCAATCACCTGTTCAGACATTTTATTATACACTTCTGGAGCAGGTGGGCCTTTAACCCAGGACACCTGGCTCAGAGAAACTACCACAGTGCCACATGAGCCCTTACTGTTGCAATTCAAAACAGTTACAGAAAGCATTGAAATCATTAAATTGTTGCTGTGGTTCTCACAGCAACAACTTAATGATTTCAATCTGCAAACACGCTCTTTTTAAATAAGATTAGGAAATCACTGGGGTATATTTTGCTGCTGCTAATCATGTGTTCAGTCGAGAAAAGGTAAGAGAGACTGTTGGTCAAACTGTTAAGTTTGAATCAAAAATGGTGTTCTGGCACCACATCAGAATTATATGCAAATAGCACACCTTGGGCCAGAAGTCCAAGTTTTCCTATGTTCTTAATCTACTGAATAGTAGATGTCACAGATTTGGCAGGCATTGCTGAAGAAACCTTGGTCAGATGCTGCAGTGGCTTTTATATGGCCAACAACTCAGCCGCTAAACAAAGCATCTGTATAATTGACTGTGCATCTAGGGGAATTTAATGCCCCATTTTAACAATGATAAAGGTGCCACTTAAACTGGGTGCACTTGACATTTATTTCCATCCTCCCCAGGAAGACCTGCAGTTTGCATGGAAGGTGGTGTTATGGTATCAAAGGTCAATTTGCATGCTCTCCAAACATTTATTCATTCCTAACTCAAAACTTTACTCTCTAAGCTATTTTTTTCTATGAAAGAAACATAAAAAGTGATGTGCTATTGTGTAGAACATTGCTGAGACCACACCCGGACAATTGGTCTCCTTATCTAAAGAAGAATGTACTTGCCATAGACTAATCCCTAGAATGGCAAACTTGACTTATGAGAACAGATTGAGAAAAAACATTCTGTGTTCTGTACAGTTTCAAAGAACGAGAAGTGACCTCAGAAACTTAGCAAGGTCTTACTGATGAGAATAGGATGTTAGTCCCAGAAAGTGCATCTGGAACTCAAAATAAGGGAAAGGTCATTTAAGATTGAGATGAGGAGGAATTTCTTTACTGAGATAGTAGTGACTTGTTAGAATTCTCTAGAAGGCTCTGGAAGGTCAACCTTCAACATGTTCAAAACAGAAATCAATAGGTTTTTGGATGCTATTGACATCTAGGGATTTGGGGATAGTGTGGAAAATTGTGTAGAGACAGATGATCAGCTATGATCTGTTTGAGTGTCAGAGGAGACTTGATGGACTGGAAAACCCAATCCTGTTTCTGTTTCCCACATTTCTTTGAAATAATTTGAGCTGTGGCATTACCTTGGTGAAGAATAAACGTTCTGCTGTTGTTGAGATTGTGCATTCCTTAACACACATATTCCAAAACCACTGTCAGTCAATTTCCAAAGAATAGTATTTAGAAAATCAACCTATAGCATCAGGTGTACACAAATAAAATCAGCAATTATTCTGTATTGTTGATTCAATACTAAATGAAATTATATTTGCTGCAATGAATGATGCACCATTCACCTTTTTCATGTGAGATAGCAGGAACTGCAGATGCTGGAGAATCCGAGACAACAAGGTGCAGAGCTGGATGAACACAGCAGGCTAAGCAGCATCATAGGAGCAG